CCACTTGCACGCTTCTCCCATCAACGATAAAGGGAATAACCTTTATCGACTGACTCCTGAGAGAAGTTTTTGAAAGAGAATGGTACGCACACATCCACGAAGTTTCGAAGATGCTCGTGAGGATCCTCAAGAGCCAATCCACTGAAAAGTCCCTTTAGTTGAAAGAGTTCAAACATAGTGCTCGTTATATGGAACACTGTATTTCCCTCAGCTGGAGGTAAACGGATGGCCCCAATACCTCCCATGAGATGGGGGTCATTAGTGTTGGGCTCTTGGACATCGTTGAGATTTCTGATGTCGTCTTGGTGGCCCACTTGGCTATCGTTGCTTCCATTAACACTCATGCTTCTTGCTTTTAACATAAACAATCGAAACAAAACTACAAATTAAGTAACTAGAACTAAAACTAAGAAGAACAAAAACTTTACTAAACTAAAAATTCTCAAATAACACCACTCCCCGACACCGGCGCCATTTTGACTTCACATATCAGGATACTATTTTGGTTTAAGTGCTAACGATCTCATGTAGTGATATACCCCAACCAAGGGTTGGGATTGTTTCCAAAGGGAGTGGTTTTGAGAATTAGTTGAAAAATTAAATTAAGTTCTAATCAGTCATAGCTATAAACATTATCGAATACAAATATACTAAATCTAAGGGGTGACGCAAGCGTCAATTATCAATGGGGGTTGTATTAGCTAATTAACAAAACTGACAAAAATATAAGGAATTGAAAATCAGCAAAAATGCAAAGAGTACTAATCAAGGAGACGCGATTCTTGGGATGTGATAGGAATACGGGATAAAGTAGACCATTGGGTACATGCTTTTCATATTAAATTGTTGAACATTTGTGACTAGGCTAGACTATAGTGGGGGTAAATTCTCTCTCGAGCAACTTACCCCGAATCAACTTGGTTTCTCTCGAACACCGAGTTGCCGCATTAAGCACGGCCTCTGCCTTAGCCCATTCACTCTCTTGAGCTAAATGTGTGGGAGAAGGAATGGGATTCACTCTCTCGAGCTGAACCCATATCGATCCAATACCACCGGCCATCAATTTAGTAGTCTTGGTTTTATGACCTCTCTCTCGAGCAAGCTAATAATACTAAGATGAAATCGTATTTGCAACTACAATCCCATTAAGTTCATACACAACTACTAAACGAAATCACATTTAAACAACAAATAAACCATCAACAAGCAAGACCCAACATATAATTTAGCCCATATTCATAAAATCACACCCCAAGAATTAGGGTTTTAGCTAGACATGTAAAACAGATAAAAATTTATACCAATATCTGTTTCCATCAAATGGGTATGAAGAAATAAGTCTTAAAACACGTCAAGAGTGAAGAATCTTCGCGACCCACGTCCAATTTTTTGAAGTTGAAACCCTTTGAATCTTCAATGTCTTAGAACAAAGTCTCCAAAACCCTCTAAAAGTTGAACTCTCTCAAAAACTGTAAAAAGTTCGAATAATAGAAGTTATACTAAGCTAGAAATTTAAACAAGTATTTATAGTGTCTTAAAATTTGTGCTACGGAGGACTATTCGGCGCAGTTAGTCAGGATCGCCAATACTCTCGGCGATCTACCATTTGGTCTATTTCATCGCCTGCCTACTTTAGCCTTCAGCTTCTTCACATTTTGAGTCGTTGGGCAATATGGTACTGCTTTGCAAAACTGATCGGCGACGCGCTGACTGCTACTTTTCATCACAAACTTGACCTTCTCCTTCAAGGCTCAGCACACTGGATCATTCGGTGGGATTTAGGACCTTTCGACGACTCGCCTAATCGATTAGGCGATCCTCAGGAAGTCTTTTGTCTGTTCTTTCAGCCGCTTTGTTCCTTTTTGCTTGATAGCGTCCAAGCTTTGTCTCTCAATCCAAATACCTGAAACTTAAGGGTTTACATTAGTTATTGAGATAAAATATGCATTTGAGGAAACTAATTTAATTAAAATATAGCCCTAAATGAGTCCAATTTGTGGACTTATCAAAGGTATGAGATTTTCTTCACTTGGACCTCTAGTAATTACAAGATCTAGTCCTACTAAGGATCCCAAGGACTTTATAGACTGTATTTATAGAGTATTAAGGGTGATGCATGTGTCCGTCCCTGAGGTTGTGGAGTTTGCTTCTTTTTGGATACATGATGTAGCCACCCTCTGGTATGAGGCATGAGGCATGGGAGAGATATAGAGGACCTGATTCTCCACCAACAGATTGAGAGGACTTTCTGGCCCATTTTTTTCCATGGGGGGTTCGAGGGGCCTATCTTGATAAGCTTATCAGTCTAAAGCGAGGGAACATGCCTGTGGGGGATTATGACCACATGTTTAATTCTTTGGTGAGATATGCAATAGATATTGTACATGCCATGAGAGCCAAATTTCATCGTTATATTGATGGTTTGGTATACCATCGGATCAGATATAGTAGCATAGCATCCCTACATGATGATGTAAATATTTCTAGCATACAAGACTTTTCTCATATTAAAGATGACCTTTCTCAACGGATTTGTTACACCTGCAGGGATAGGGAACATAGTAAGAGGTTCCCCTACAATGGGGTCTTATAGGGAGCCACAGGGTGATTTTAAGCCCCCACTCCATCGGTATCCACCTCGGCCAGCAGGTAGTGTTTTTTCATAGATGCAAGGACAACGGTTTGATCATTATAGTCATTTAGGACCGAGTCAAAGTTTAGACCAGCCTGAGGACCATCGGTAGGAGAGTTCTATACAAATGAGACATCCTATTCCCATATGTACATAGTGCGGTAAGCCGCACACTAGGCAGTGTAGATAGGGTTCGGGTGCATGTTATCATTATGAGAATATATGAAATTTTATTAATCAGTGCTCGAGGTTGAGCAGAGGTGAGCTAGCTTAGCCTTCAGGATCCACAACAACCTCTTCACCCTTAGTTCATTCCCCACATCCAGGACCATAGATTACTCCAGAGTCATGGTAGGAGTAGGTGTGGGGGAGACACATCAAGTTCTAGTGGTGGCCAAAACCACTTTTATACACTCATAGGCCGACATGATTCTTAGGTATCTCTAAATATTTTTGTAGGATTATTGACGATATCTTCTCAAGTTGTTATTGAATTGATAAATCATGTCTCTATACTTTCATATATTACTCCAGTTTTTGATAAACTTGAAATGAAATATGAGTTGTTGTCATAGTTAGTTGAGGTGTCTACACCGGTTGACGACTCTATTTTAGCTAGGTGTTCCTATCGAGGTTGAACGATGTTAATTAATTATCATCAAACCTCCGCTAATTTAGTTGAAGTTATTATGCTATACTTCTATGTCATTATGGTTATGGATTGATTGGCACCTTGCCATTCTAATATTGATTGTCGTGCAAAGATGGTCAATTTCATTTCCTAGGTGAGCCAGTCCTTGAATGGAAAGGTAATGCAACCACACCCGAGGGAACGTTTATTTCATACCTTAGGGCTCGAACGTTGATTTTTATATGATGTATATACAATATAGTTCAATTCAAGGATATTGATAAGGATACAACTCTGAGTCAATTCCTATTGTAAATTAATTTCAGATGGTATTCTTTGACGATCTTCTAGGAATTCCCCAGAAAGATTAATTTCTCTACCGACTTGCTTCCTTATACGCAGCCTATATCCATTCATCCCTATGGAATGGCTCCTATAGAGAAAAGGGAATTGAAGGAAAAACTGAAGGACTTGCTCGATAAAGCCTTTACAGACCAAGTACATCCCTATAGGGTGCTTCAGTGATTTTTTTTAAAGAAATATTGCTCCTTAAGAATGTGTATTGACTATAGGCAACTAAATAAAGTCACGATTAAGAATAAACATCCTCTTCCATGGATTTATGAATTTTTCAACTAGTTACAAGGTGCCAAATGCTTTTCCAAGATCGACCTGCGATCCGGTTACCGTCAGCTATGACTCAGGGATGTTGATATCCCAAAAATAACATTTAGGATGAGGTATGAGCATTTGAATTTCCTTGTCATATCTTTTGGGCTTACAAATGCACCCAACATCCTTTACGGATCTTATGAATCGGATTTTCAAACCATTCTTCACTACAAAAAAAACAGTGTTTAGCGACGGATATTAGCGACAAATTAATTTCCGTCACTATATAACAACGAATTAGCAACGAAGTAGCCATTTCGTTGCAAAAATTACAAATAATTTTTTGAGTTATAATATAGTGACGGATTGGCGACGGAATATGTTTTTTTGTCGCTAAGCTCTGTATCAGGTGAAAGCTCTTGGTGAAAGCTCTGTATCAGGTGAAAGCTCTTGGTGAAAGCTCTGTATCAGGTGAAAGCTCTTGGTGAAAGCTCTGTATCAGGTGAAAGCTCTTGGTGAAAGCTCTGTATCAGGTGAAAGCTCTTGGTGAAAGCTCTGTATCAGGTGAAAGCTCTTGGTGAAAGCTCTGTATCAGGTGAAAGCTCTTGGTGAAAGCTCTGTATCAGGTGAAAGCTCTTGGTGAAAGCTCTGTATCAGGTGAAAGCTCTTGGTGAAAGCTCTGTATCAGGTAAAATTTCTCTTAGTAAAAGCTCCGTCTCCTTCTCCTTTCGATTTCTCCCGTCTCAGGTGAAATGGCTCCCGTCTCAGGTGAAAGGTGAAGTTGCTCTTGTCTCCTTAATCATCAGGCGAAAGGTGAAATTGCTCCTGTCTCCTTCATCCTCAGGAGAAAGGTGAGCTTCTGCCTTTGGTAATTTCTTTTTTTTTCATCTGTTCGGTGAGCTTCTGGTGCGATGAAGAGGAGGGCGTTGAGTTCTATTTGGTGAAAAACAACTAGGGAGCGGGATGTGGTTATTAGGGATATGCCAAAATTAAACGTAGTGCACTCGCTTGCTTCTACTTTGCTCTAATTTCTGATTTTGAATATTTTTCAAATTTTGTTTAGTCTCTAACCTCTCTTGCTTCTGCTTTGCTCGGCGAAATTCTTGAAATCTTATTTAGGTGGTGAAGTAGTCTCCAAGCTGGTCACTGTATAGTCGCTGCCCAGAGAAAGGTGACGTTTCCTTCATAATCTTCTCCTCATCTTCTTCTATTTCTGATATGTCTCGCTACTTTCAAATTTTGTTTAGTCTCTAACCTCTCTTGCTTCTACTTTGCTCGGCGAAATTCTTGAAATCTTATTTAGGTGGTGAAGTAGTCTCCAAGCTGGTCACTATATAGTCGCTGCCCAGAGAAAGGTGACGTTTCCTTCATAATCTTCTCCTCATCTTCTTCTATTTCTGATATGTCTCGCTACTCTATTGTTGTGTCACTGTTGTTTGTAGATGAGAACTATGTGTTCTTAATGTATTTCCTTAATTCATATTAATGTGGAAGTTGGGTTTTGTCGTTTAGTATTTAGTATTGTCGCTTATTTGTTCCTTTGTTTGAATCCTTTTTCGATGACTCCTCTTCGATATGTCGTAGAATCTCTGTTCTTCGTTTTCATTGTCTGTAAGCCCAGGTTTTACATTCAGTTTTGCTACTGTTAATGATGCTTTCTTTTCAAAATAAGGATAGAATCTTGAAGCTAACTTAGGTGAAAGTTGTTTGTGTTTTTGTTTTGTTGATGTAGTAGATTGTTTTCAAATCCCCTGATCATTCTACTAATCGAATTTATGTTTCCATCTGCCTAACTTTTAGTCCAAAATGCCCACTGTTTGTAATTAAGCTTATAAGGTGTGAAGTCATGTTACTGTTCAGATTGTAGTTTGCTTTCAAAGTCGTTGCCTATTTCTCTTTTCTGATCATCTCGGCATGTTGTTCTGCATGTATTTTCAATCTTTTTAAGTCCTTGAAGTTTGGCCTTGTTAAAAGGTTTGATATTGGTATAAGTATGTGTATGTTCTTGGTGAGTTAAATAAAATGTCACGGGTCAATCTTTGTTGGCCTTATTGTTCAATTCATAAAAAGATTAGATGTAAACAATTAGGAAGTCACTGAATTTGTTTCAGCAGTTATTAAAGTAGTATATGTTTGCTTTTGTTTTATTTGATTAGCTACTAGTTATCCTTTCTTTCCTTAAAACTTGTCTCTTGTTTATTTATTATACTTAATAGCTACTAAGCTATTAAGTATACAATAGAGTAACTTCTTTTTAGATTTGGCGAAATAGCTTGAAGAGCATTTTTAGCTTCTGATTTAGTGAGCATTAATTTAGTTTCTTCTTTTTCTATCTTTTATTTCCAAGTTTTATAATTACTGTATATATAGGTAGTTCTAGGTGTACATGTTTATAATATGCACCATTTGTTTAGAGACAACTATCTAACTATTGCTTCTGCACATACTCTTCAACTTGGTATCCATCTTTACATCCTTATAATTTATTTGAGTAGTTAACTTCTTAGTTTTTCATTTGAACGAACTAGGTATCTTTGATTTTTAATATATATTTTCATTGCTGCATTAGTTTAGCATTTTAGATGTATGAAATTATGTCTGCTTTCATTTGATAATACAACTACTAATATTCTTGTGCAATTCTCACGGGACAAGTCTTTCACCCTGCGAGACCTTGCTTCTCTACTTTGACGTAATTTCTCTTTTCTTCATATATTATCTTTGGTAGATAGGAGTTCCTTTTAGCTTTTGAAAATGTTACTATTATTTTCTGAAACTGTTTGTTTTATTTGTGTGTTTAAATACATTTTATGCTTTAAAAATAACCTTGAAATGATTTGATTCAATGAAATCAGGAAGGATTTTTTGTCTTACTATACACTTGAGTTGGTTAGTGTTGTATGGTTCATTTGTAGAACTTAATTTAGTTTGAGTATTTTGGTGTTGAATATACTGATTTAGGTGATTTGGGGTTTAAAATTGCAGTTTCGATTGAATTTTTCCTCTACCTCAGCTTCCCGTCTCCTTCATCTATTTCCTCTAATTAGCCTTTGTTTTGAAGGTATACCATCCGGTGTATGTGAAGCTCGAAGAAAGACATAGACATCCGGTAAGTGTTCTATTTCCCCTTCTTCTTCTTCTTTCTACTGCCATAAAAAGATTTTCTGTTGAAAAGGAAAATGTTTCTTCAACCATCTCATATCAGTGTTGGAAGAAAAGGAAAT